AGGTGAGTACTGGTTTGTTGAGTGCTGTCCTGATATGTTTAGTGGTGATCCTTGGTGCTGCTGAGTGCAATGTTGTAGTGATGGCCTTTGGCTTTGGGGTGATAGAGTACTAATTGAGTACTGTTTTTGCTGATGAAATCTCAATGCAATAGAGGTTTTTGCTACTGTGGTGAATCTCTGCTGCTGCTGCTGTATGGCTTGCTTTGCTGCTGTCTGCTCTGTTTGGTCTCTTGTAGTGGTTGGTCTGCTTAGCTTTGTTGGTCTGCTCAATTTTTGTTTACTGGTTGGTGGCTGCTCAGTTAATGTATTCTGTTTTAGTGGTCGGTCTGATTATGATAGGCTGGGCTTTTTGGCAGTAGTCTGTTTGGTTTTGTAGGTGTTCGGTTTGCTTTGTTTTATCGTTGGTTTCTCACCAACTCTGAGGGTGCTAGCAAATGATAGGATAGGCTTTTTGGTGCAAACCTAGTTAGGACGATTTAGCTCATTATGATGCTTTTGCACTTTTCTTTTCTTTATTGATGGTTTTTTGTACTGTGTACTTGATTCTTACATCAATAAAGCTTTTCTTTTGCCGATCAAAGAAAAAAAAAAGTAATATAAGTAACCTTAATTAAGCCAAGAAAGGAAAATGTATGGACAGATATATTTTTGTTTTATTTTTTTTCTGCATTTTGCTTTTGGCTTTGTTTTAGTCTGATGAAATAGGATGAGTGGCCAAACTTCTGTAAGTTATCTTGTGGTATTTGTTCTTGTGTAGGAAAGTCCAGAGCAAGAGATGCTGCATTAAATGTCGTTCAATCACCTTTATTAGATATTGGCATAGAGAGGGCCACTAGAATTGTCTGGAACATAACTGGTGGTAGTGATTTAACTTTGTTTGAGGTCTCTCTCTCTCTCTCTCTCTCTCTCTCTCTCTCTCTCTCTCATCATATGCATGGGTTTGATCTGTGTAGTTAACATTTGCAGATCCCTCTTTACCTCATATTTTGTTTGGGCATCTTCTGAATATAACCATTGGTGGTTAAAATTATGATCTAATTGAGAGTGAACTTCTACAACTTCCGAGACAGTAATATATGTATACATGCACATACATATTTGTATACATGTATTGCAGCCTATGTAAATTCCTACACCATTTATTTATTTATTTAGTAAATAATGACTACATTAATTAGCATCAAGGGGATGCCACCCATGTACATCAAAAGAGCCTATGAGAGAGCCCTCAGTTTTTATAAATTTTTTTTAAATGACCAAAAGGTCCCACAAAAAGGAATATTACTTACAAATAAGGTATTGGTCCCAGGTTAGGCCCCACATTTGCCACTTAAAGTACCTTGAGGATTTTCTCAATGTTCACCAATTTTACATGAACAGAACAGAGGCAAATTATTATGTTTAACCTTGTTATGCTATATTTGCTTATGTTGAACCTTGTCATGCTATGTTCTTTATCCGCATGCATGTCTCTTTATCTATCTTACTGATCACACCTTGATTCATACTTTGAACCTAAATGGTTAGTATTATTGGTGAAGAAAGGCACAAAATGTGTACAGTTTTGCTTGGCTTCAGTGTTTAAATCTTATGGTCTGTGAAAATATTGATTAGTTCATGGTTAGTTAATTGATTTGGCCTATCATTAATGCCAAATAACATTGACTCATGAAACAATAGCAATAATGATTACCCAAACCCTAAAAAAATCCTCTTTGACAGGAGATATCACTCATCACTACTGGGGACAGTGAGGCCCTTGGTCTGCATTTGTTTATGCATCCATTGCCAGTTCTGTGGTGTGACCTCACCCCCAAGATCCCGAATAACAGAGCCACCATTGCATAAGCCCACTTTGTAGCATTCCTCTAGGTTTAGCCCCTTTACCAATTTGTAAAAACACCCACTTGCAAACAGGTCCTCTGTTCCAGTGGCATCTATTGCCTTTGCCTCCCCAATTGCTGGAACCCGAACAATCTGAAAGAGGTAATGAAATTCTATCCATTACTTACCAAAAAGTAAAAAAATATAAAAGTGCACTTTTTTAGTGCTAATGTTCTGTACTTAGATCTGTTTCTGTAGTTAGATATGTGTCTGTAGACTTGCTATATACTAAAAGAGAGCATATTGTGTACTTAAAACAGAATAAATGTCTTGTGTTAATCTTGTGTACTTGCCATGATCATTACATAACAAATTCAGACTCACAGTGTTTAGGATGATGCCAATTATAATATCCATTCCATAAGGGGTACACATGTGCCTTTGGAAGAGAGATTATTATAAGATTCCGTGGAATAGTTACCTTTCAAAGTTCCATAGATTTTATATATATAACCAGGTTATATATTAATATTTCTAATAACCAAAACTATGGAAGAGGAGACAAATATAACATATCACTGACCTCTTTTCCATGTTTTGCAATGCATCCATTAGGGCCTAATGTCACCACAGCCCACTGACAGTGTTTTGCCAAAAAATCAAGAGCAGACTCAGGATTGGCACCTTCTTCACCCCTACAACCGTGCCAAGACAATCAAACACCATTTACTAGAGACTGCACCCTTAGTTGAGAACCAATGAACTTACAATCATTTTGCCCCTCCACAAATACCACAGTGCAGCAAAAGGAAACACATCCCATATTTTCCATTCCAAGATTCTAAATTTATACCCAATCCACCATTGTAACAGATCTGTTCCTCTTTCCATGCATTGTGTACAGAAAATCTCCTTAGAAGTAGAAAAAGAAAATAATCTTGCGAGGTGTATATGAGCTTTTCCTATGGCTTATGTTCTCTAATATCTTTAGTATACTATGATAAATGCTCATTTAATTTGATTAATATCTTTGTGTTTGATTAATTACATCTATTGTTTATCTAGCAGATATGGCAAAGAAATGATTTAGAACTTGCAATCTTGAGAAGGAGTCCCAAAATAAGCGATCAAATGGCTCTTCACAACCTAGCCAGTCAAATAACTCTTCACAGCCTAGCCAACCAAATAACCCTTCACAACTTAACGCACCAAGTGGAACTTCACAACCTAGTCACTCAATTGGCTCTCCACAGATGGACTGGCCAAATAGAACTTCACAACCTAGTCGTTCAAATGCCTCTTTACAGCTTAATCGGCCAAATGAAACTTCACAGCCTAGTCGATCAAATGGCTCTTCACAACCTAGTTGGTCACATCCCTCCTCACATGCTCCATCACATGTTCCACATCCTCAACCTCAAGAATCAGAGGTTAACGCTCAGTTTGAAGATGATTTAGATGAGGACTGGTTAAAGGAAGAAGAAATGCAACGTACAGGTATTATTAGATTTTTAGTTGAGGTACAAATTACAAGTCACCCTTAACTTCCATGATATATATCATTGTTGTATTGTAATAGATGAATCGACCAAGCGAAACACGCGGGGAATTACACGTATGGTTGAAGTGTGGAATTTGACTCCAGAAGAACGCATTATGCTCACCTTCAACAAGGATTTGCAGGCTGTTTCTACAGAGGGTGGTATATTCAGTCGCTTCATAGGCACCATTGCTAGGAAGCCACACTTATGCCCAATTAAGTACAAGAATTGGCATGAAGTGCCAGATCAGTATAAAGAAGATTGTTGGAATATTATCGAGGTAATTTTCTAACTACAAGTATTTTGTGATAATTCTACTACAGTGGTAAAGAAAATTGTTGATAGGATTGTCTGAAAGTTCCTTTCCTATATTAGGATATAGGTGTCGTCTAGAAGTAAGAAGTATGAAATTAGTGTGGTTCATTATCTCCATGTAAAAATATGAGAATTAGGTAAAGAAATGCACAAATTTAGTTTATATTATTGTATTGATAATTTTAAGAATGTTCATAACATGAAAAACCATACAATTGTAGTCCAAGTTTGCCATTCCTCAAGATGAGAGAAGGGATATGATTAGGCATCGAACATTGAAGTCAATGGGAGAAATATGGAGAAATTGGAAATGTAGTTTAAAAGCAAAGTACTATGATGAGACAAAGACAGCAGCACAGATAGTAGCTACTGCACCTTTAACAGTTAACCGTGAGCACTATGTTGACCTTGTCGCGTATTGTTTTTCAAAGGAAGGACAGGTATGCATAGATGTATGTTTTCTATCAAATAATACAATGTCATTATATCATTTTTTTTTTAACATATTGTTATGCATTTATGAGTGAAGGAACTTAGCGCAACCAATAAGGAAAGCAGGCGAGAGCAAACAAGTGCACATACGGGAGGATCTAAAACTTATGCACAACATGCATATGATATGGTATTTCAAACTTCATTCCTTCTTTTATATTTTGAATTTGGTTAGCGCATTATATTATGAATTTATTCTCAAACGATATGATTGTTACATAGGAGCAAAAAGATAAGATTGCACTAGATCGAGCAAAATTATATATACCGCTTCACAAAAGGAAAGATGGGACACCAGTCAATGAAGCAGCAGCTACAAAAATTGTATGCCCATTTAATAAGTTACATTTTCAAAATTCTAATGTGTTTGTGGCAAACAATCACTCTCGCTTTTTGTCGTCTTATTTTTTTCCCCCCATTTATGCCACAGGAAAAACTAGAAGCTTTGATGAGCTCACAACCAAGCAGCTCTGAAGGAAATGTTGGTGGATGTATATCTTGGTCACCAAATGATATTTATTCTCAAGTGATGGGTAAAGAGCATCATGGTCGTGTTCGAGGTTTAGGATTTGGGCCTACTCCTTCCAAGCATGGCTTCATGTGCAATAATTTTGACCACTTAAGAATGGTTTCTGATGAAGAGAGAATGAGAGACAAAGACACTATAATTGAGTTGAAGGAACAACTAAAAACTCAAGGTGATCAGTTACAAACTCAAGGTATTCAGTTGCAAGCTCAAGATGCTGTAATAAACTCTTTAAAAGAGCAAGTAGCATTTTTGATGAGTCAGAGACATAGTTCTAGTGGTTTGCAGGTATAACTACATATAACATATTCTTTTATATGATGTATTTATCATATGTTATCATTTTCCAAATTTATGCATACTTATGTAAATTTTATTGTATAAATTAGGCGACAGATGGATGTAGTGGCATTCCGGACCAAGCTTCTCCACGAACACATCAAAGATCCTCTTTTGGGAGTCATGAAATGCAACCTTCAAATCGAGGTAAGTCATCATTACAATACACATACATTGACACAAATTTAGAACCACTGTTAATGACTTCTTTACCAATAAATTGTTAGTTAGTTAGTTTGGACGAAATTGGGGTTTGATAGGTTGACTTCTCTACTTTGCTTCCTTTTCCAACACTGCACAGGAAATACTGGATGGGTGTATTCCCCGCTCGAGCGTCAAAACCCCCGCTCGAGCGGACAGGCCAAAATCTAGGCAACTAGTTTTGGTTTCTAAACTCAACCAACTTGTAACAAACCTGTCCAACACATCCTATAACTCAAATACGAAGTAAAAAGGATGCAAACAAGATAATAAACAACTACCCTCAACCACGAACACATGTCCGGATCACTGTACAACAAGGGTAAACCCGGGATCGCTATATTTTTCATGGAGATCTTTATAAAATGGTGTCACGAGTAATACTTTTGAGTACTATTGTTATGTGACAAGTTTTTCTTTTGGATTATGGTGTGGGCTATTAGTTTGCTAGAAACATTGGATCTTTTTGTATTACAGGCTTATGTAATGAACCTTTTAATTAAGGTGTTTTGGATATTTTGGGATTATGAAAATGCAGACTCTTTCACCTTTTACAATTATTGAGCATTGAGCCATTAGAATAAAATAGTGTTGTTATAGATATATAATGTGAGCAGGGCTATGATGTCTGTTTTGATCATTTTGTAATCAAATTGTCCCTGTAATATGGCCTTTTGGGTTTTGTTTCTAGTTCCTTTTCTTGTTTGGATCTTTTCAATGTAATCAGGTTATGTTGGTCTTAGGTTTTTTTTTTGGAATTGTTTGCCTTGTTCTTGCCCTCATTTGTGTGAAATGGTTTTTGTTGTGTAGATTGTCTTTTTTTGTTTTTTGGTTTATGTGTCTTTGTATAGTTGGTTTGCTCCTAGGGTATACCCCTTGTATCTTGTAGTTTTTTTTCGTTTTATTTATGATTTTTTTCACCCCCCCCCCCCCAAAAAAAAAAAAAATAGCCTACAACAGTGGTTAATAACCGTCGCTGTAAATAAAATACGAAACGAATTATATGGTTATAGCGACAGTGTAAAACTGATGGAATAGAGTCAAAATATAGCAGCGGTTTACAAAATGTCGCAAAAGTGAAGGATATAGCAGCAGTCGACCCGTCGCTATAAAGTTAGCAAGTAATTGGTAAATTCAAGATATAGCGACATTTGTAACTGCCACTACATCAACCGTCGCAATAAAAATAACTATACCAGCGTTTGCGAAAAACGTCACTATAAGGATATGCCGACGGGGCTATTGCGGCGGTTTGGCCGCCACTATTGCAAACGCGGGTAAAGGTGTTTTAGTTTTTAGCGACGCTTTTTCCTACTTTTAGCGACAGTTTTGGCCGCTACTAAATCTTGGTTTTTTTGTAGTGAAATGGGCAATGATTGCTAGGCTCTTCCCTGGTAAAACTGACAATGCAATGAAGTATAAGCCCTGTTAGAAGCCCTGCGCCAAAATTGTAAATGACGTCACAGGTATTTGCCCTTCCTTCTCCTACTTTTGGTGCTCTGTAATCTCATAATGTCACATTTCTCTAGTTTTATTTATTTATTTGTTAACCATTTGCCTAAATTGTAATGCAAATTTGTGGTAACTATATTGTTGTCGAATCGTGAATCGATTCGTTAAAAAGTGAATCATAAATCATTTCAAACTGTAAATCATAAGATTTATATTATTTAATATAATATATAATACAGTGTTTAAAATCGAAATGTATACAGTGTTTAATAAAAACTAAATTATTAATATGACTAAATTATAAACGTATATGCACATAAAATCATATATATCAATTTAAGTAATTACGTTCTATAAATTTTTATAGTTTGGTGAAAACATTGATGTTTCATGCGTTATATAAACAAAAATAGAAAAAGAATTGAATTGCAGTGAATTTTGTGAATCTCAATGAATCGTAGTGAATCATAAATTGAATTGTACAATTCACTCAATTTTCGATTCAGCAGCACAATTCGAATCGTTTTTGTTGAAACTCGTATATGTTTGGTTTTCCTAATGCGGTTTTTAAAATGTTTAATGTAATTATGTGTGAATCAGAGGCTGATACCTAAACTCTGTATAATTAAACAACATGCAGAATTTTTCTTAGCTTCTTATTGGAGTCAACAAAAAAGTCTGTGTTGGTTAGCTTTTGATCATTTGGGTTCTTTATTTATTTGGAATTTTTCAAATATATTTGTCCTCTTCTTTTCCTTCATATAAAATTATACGCATTGCTTTGATGTTTGGGTGCAAGCATATAACTTTCGATACTTGTTTTTGATGTTTTCAGCAGCAAATTTGGTTGTGCCTAACGCAGCAAAGGCTGTAAGTATGGAGAATATTATGGTGAGAACTTGTTGTTAGCTTTAGCCATCTTGTTTAAATTCAGTTAATGTCTTTTTTGTTTTTTGATTTGTCAATCATGCTTAGACAAAGTTTTTCCGAGTCCTATATGCAAGTTTTGCTTCTTTTTTTCCCTCCCATATAATCTGAGGAGATATGGTTATTTTTCTTCAAGTCAAGAAGGAGCTGCTTCTGTTTATACTTTAGCAGATGGAAGTGTTGGAGATTGGTTTGGAGGCTTCCTATATTTAGCTGGACAACAGGCTAACGAAGCTGTTCAGGACCAGCTATCGTCTCCCAGTTTTACTAGGTTCATAGTTTGCCGATTGTTTCTGAGTTTGAATTTGGTCATTTGGGGATTTTATACTTACAGTTTTATCTGCTGTTCATGCATGTTCCTCTTTGCAGCTTGGCTGTTATATTTGGCACAGGACTTGTAACCAGTGGGCAATGATTACAAAGAATGTTACATAAATTTTCAAGCTATGTTTATATATGTTACTGTTATTAACTAGTGAAGAGAGTTGTTATCTTAATTGATGTGTAGTGAAATTTGCAGGTGGAAGCTTCTATTCAAGAGGCTTGTTCGTGAAATTACTCAAGACTTCAAGGTAATTGAAGGGTCATAATTATTAAACGTTGTCAGAGTTATTGTAATTATTTATTACCTTAACTTCACTTGCCTTGTATTCTTTGTTAGACACTCTACATTTTAGTCTTGACATTGGGAAATTCTACTTGTGATGAATGAGTTGCCATCACTTATTAATGTTGCAGATTGCCCATCTAAATATCACGTTTGAACTGCTTCCTTTAAGCTAATCATATAATGATAGAGAGCAGTTAAATTAGTGCTAGCTCCTGCTCATGTCAGGTTTGGTCATCTTTTTGTCAAATTTTGTTACTGGGTTGGTCCTGGACTACCTATGCATATGTTCATGACTTCAGCTGGCCAAATTGATTTATTGTTCCAACTGGATTTGTATTTTGTGGGTTGCATCCACAAGGAATGATTAAGAATGCTCTACAATGCATTTAAAGTTCTGTTTCAGTTAATGCCAGCATGTTGTGGGATCCATTATAATCCTACTGTTCTTAACATGAATTTTTAAGATTGCATGTTGATTTGCTACATGACTTGTGTTGCGAGAGGTAATTCTCGAAGTGGATTTTTAATATTGCATACAAAAAGAGATGGTTGAAGTTTCTACTCTGATGAAAAAATAAACACAGAGAAAATTGACATAACATTACATATAATATTGGTATTTACTACTGGTGGTAGAAATTATGTGCAATGAATGAAAAAGAGATGGTTTTGGCCATGGATCTGTTTTAATAAGATTTGCTCAAGAGTGAGAAATTGTATGCCCTTGTATGAGAGGGTTTACGTTATATCTTGCACTCCAAGGTGATTCAATACAAAAAAATTTAGGTTCTTTTTATTTTTTTGTAAATGAGACCATTGCATACGGAAGTGGTAAAGGCTTGGGCTGCCAAGTGTGAGGAACATGGGTTCAAGTCTGAAGGCAGTCCTCTTGTATGGATTAAATTATCAAAGGTTAGGTCTACTCAGAGTCTCCCATCCTAGCATCCTTGATTATTGGGGATGATATTTTGTTTATTAAATTGATTTTGACGGGATTTGATTGTTGAGCACTGTATTTATAGTTGCATTTGAAAAAGTATGCTAATGAAAATGATAAAGTTGATTGATGATAATATGCAACTGTTTCCTTCTTATGCTACATCAATTTCTTTATTGTACTTTCAATAAATATATCAGCTGCTTTTGTTTTTTTAGTAGATTTTAACATCGTCTCCATTTTATTCTGGGCATGAAATTTACATAAATTTCAGTGGAAAGTTGAATCCTGGTTTAGGGGGTTTTATTTATTTTTAACCAGTCACAGAAAGCCTTCCAACTTTATGATTGTCATTACTTTAATTTCTGATTTCTGACTTCATTTTTTTGTTCTTTAATGCCTTTTGCAGGCTTGAAATCTCATGTTGTAACATTATATGAAGCAGGAAAACTAGGCCATACTAGCATTGTAGATCTTTGCAAGGATTTGAGTACATTAGAGGGAACAAAATTTGAGGGAGAATTGCAGGAGTTTGCCAATCATGCATTTACTCCGATGTGGTCTAGAATGTTTGATATCCGGTGGAGTTGCTATTGATGAGAGAACTGTAAATGTTTGATATCCTGTGAGCCTGCGAGACCAATCCTGAGACAAAAGAAGTCAGTCTTGTTCGATATGGATTTTTGACATCAGTTAGTTCAGGTAATGAATTTTTTTAGAACTCACCAAGTTTTACACTTGAATTACGATTTCTATGCTTATTAATTAATTTCACTGAAAAAATTAGACTACAAGCGTGAGAAACACACATTCAAGTCAGAGATCTTGTTCCTCCTTGTTTCTCTGATCTCTACTAGTGTGAATGAACCTCTATGGTCCAATAGTTCTGGTATATGCACCTTAAAATCTAAAGTTTTCTGTTTTTTTTTTTTTTTTTTTTTTTTTTTTTCTGAATTGTTGAACTAACATAATATGCTTTTCATAATTTGATTATATTAAATCTGGAACAAGCAGGGAATACATGTTATTATAATGGTGATTTATGTATATGCTTTTATCTCTTCATGCTTTTGATATTATGTATTGCTTCGTTCTAGATTATCTTCAAAAGGATTATAATTTGCAACTGTTATTTATTTATTTGCAAGTCAAAAGGACAATTTTGCCGAGGGAAAGGTCTGATTCAAGATGTAAAAAGGAATTTGCTGCTTGTTTTTTTTTTTTTTTTTACCAGGCCCAAAATTGAAATCTTGTTAGAATTTTTTTTATTTTTTATTTTTGGTAAGAGCATTAAAATATCCAAGTGTGCTGATGAGTGAATTTTAGAACTTTTTTATTTTTTTATTTTAAGATTGGGGTGAAGTTCATAACTTAAATATGCTTCTGTGAACATATATTTATTTTTTTTCTATCAAATATCAAATTTGATGGTTTTATTTTATCAACTTCAACTTTTATTTTTATTTTTTGCTATGTTGTGCTTTATGGTTTTATGCAAATTGGAATGCGAATATATAACCAGCCAGCTCAACAACATATTTTATATTAATGAAATTATGAAATAAAGAAAAAAGATGGCGTTTTTGTTCAAAACGTCACTATATCCCGTGATGTCATCAGTTATTATTTAAACAGATTGCATATTATACCGACGCTGATGAAAACGCCACTTCAAGTATTAGCGACGTTTTTAAAGCGCCTTATACCTATAGCGACGGTCGCGTCAGCGACGTAAAGTAAAACGTCGGTATATCATTTTGGCAGCGTTTTTGGCTCTTATAGCAGCGTTTTTTAAACGCCGATAAAGGTAATTTTTCTTGCAGTGTCTATTAAATCTTACAAGTAATTGAGAGCACAAAATCAGTCAATTCCATTACATGACAATTTTTATTTATTTATTTATTTTTAATTTTCGCTAGGCTTCTCAAATCAATCGTACATCTCCCCATCAAAATTGCAATCGGATGCTTTTTTTTCTTTTAATTTTTTATTTTAGTATAAAAACAAAAGTATATTAATGTGAAACAAGTCTTGAAATAAAATGAAGAAAGTGGTTCTAGTAGATAGAATGTCCTAGCTATATAATAAACTGATGAAATAATGAGTAGTTATAGACACTCAATTTTTTACCGCCTTTAAAACTTCGACGCTCTATCCAAAACTCCCAAGATACAAAAGGTCGCTCCAAGACAAATCTGCCCTACACTCATTTTGGCCAAAATGTTTTTTGGACGCTAAAACCTATTTTCAAATATTTTTTAAGGCAATTGGTACATTTTCATTCATTTTGGCAATTCCAGGCAGTGTGATTTTCCAAAAATTTCACTTTTCGAAAGAGTTAGCTTAGAAAGTCAGTACAAAAGAGTAAATAGGGGAAACTTTCAAGAAAACCAACCAGATAAGCTTTGCTCAGCCATACATCTTTTCCACAACACACCGAACCATTTTGGCCCGTGGATGGGTGCCTGGATCATTTTTATACTACCGAACATTTTTTCAAGCAATGCGCCGAACAACTTTGATCTGTGGATACATCTCCAGGTCTTTTCTAGCTCCTCCAAGAAATTTTTTGAGGAGATACGCCGGGTTACTCTGTACCGGCCAAACAAGTCTTATCCATCACATTCTGTTTTGGTGTCAGCCAAACAGCTTTCTTGTGAGGCATTCAAAGGATCTTAGAATATGCCATCCGGATCCATGGGATCTAGAGGCATATTCCAAGTCCCAAATGCCTATAAAATCACTCTCCCTCTTGAGGGAAAAGGGTTCCAAAATTTTGAATCACTATTCCTAGTCCTTACTAAACAATTCCTCTATTCTTAATCAAAACCCTAAAAAAGAGAGTTTGGTGAGAATTTTTGGGCAACTTTCTGCACACTCTTTGGATCTCCCGTCTCATCACCATTTCTTATGGATTTGAGTAGTTTATACTCATTTTCATGCGTAAAAGGGAGATAATCTCTCAATCCTCATTGGAGCTTCTTTTGCTCTTGTCTCGTCATTTTCTTAGTTTCCATTTATTATATTGTTGCATCCACTAGGACGACTATAACACCCCGAAAATAATCCCTCAAAATGAAATGCATCAACCAACATCCACTAAATATTAATGGCAAATTTCCAACCTTTTCATCAAAAATTATCAAGGTTTATACAAAGTCTCACATGCGAATTATGCATTCAGTGATATAGAAATACATGAATCTATAGCATGTGAAACATCGAATTCCAAAATAATAAAATGCCCTTATGGGCTTACAATTTCTGTGAAAAAGTGCATTTTCGGACTTAGTTTTTGAACCGAGAGCCCCGTGCTAGTTTCGTAAGTTTTCACAACTTACATTGGTCACTCCCGAGGTGCTTGAGGTGTTACTCGGGCCGTCTCGTAGCTGTTACACAATTTTGGCCTCCGATGGCCTATTTTTCAAGCTTAAGTGTGAAAAAGTGCATTTTCGGACTTAGTTTTCGAACTGAGAGTCCTGTGCTAGTTCCGTAAGTTTTCACAACTCACTTTGGTCCCTCCCGAGGTGTTTGAGGTGTTGCCTGGGCCGT